CAGGAATATAAAAAGAGAAAATCATGGAATGACGGCAAATGTTTCATAAAATACATTAAAAAAGAATAAAATATTTATTGTCGGAAATGTTTTGTATTTAATACAATCAACGCGACTCTTTTTGTTTTTTGAAAAACTATTCCAGATGTTCATTTTCATGATCACTTAACACTTCTGAAAAAAGTTCATTTAATGACGTCTTCACAATCTTCTGTTGATTATTTATCATGTTCTTCTTTACATTGATAGATAATGAATTATTTTTGCACTGAACAGATAAATGACTAAAATTATTTGTTTCTTCTACACGTTCATAGCCAGCATATATAAGATATGGAAAGAAAATTTCTAGTCTTTTCTTATCTCTATTCTTTTTGTGTATAGAAGTGACTTGATTTCGTTGAATGATATTTTTGATCGAATGTGCATAGAATCTGGAAGGTCCAATGGAGAACTTAATAATAATCAAGAAGAGTTAGCAATATTCGATGTCAATAGTAGTAACGTTGGTGTTTGTGCAGGAGTCTGTCGAGTATACAGATTTGTGAGAAGAATTGTGTTTTTAAAGAAGTAATAGACGGTGTCGGTGTGATATTATAGCAATCTTTCATGTGTATCCACACTCACACACCCTCAAAAAGTATGAAACACGAAAAGTAATAAACTGTCACAGTCGTATTATCAATAAGAAATGTTTTACAAGATGAAGTCACGGATAAGTGTAATGTGAATTCAATATATTCAATAACAATATGCATATCACTCATACTCACATTCTCAGAATAAATTCATCAACTTTAAGATATTATTAATGATAGTTTTATTTTGAAGTATTTATGAATAAATATTTTTAATTTGAAAAAGCAATATATGCTGCAAACTACAATAGAAAATACTGTCATTTGCATGATGTTTGATATAGTTGTGCACTATTCAAGTGAGTATTACTGTTAGAAATATCATTAACAACGAAAGCATCACCATCCTGAGGATGTAGGTATGGATGAAAGTAATGGTATGGGGTGGATGAAGAAGTGAGAGTCAATATAGATGAAGGATCATTACAATACTACGTCTGAACTCTCAAACTAATTTATTTTTTATGAGTTATTTCAGATGAGAAACTAACTAGTTTGGATGGAAAAATGTTCACCAATAAGACTGTCTTTAATAGAACATTCACCAGCGGTGAAAGTACAGTAGATTTTGCAATTTGTGACGAAATAATATTAATATAGGATATATGTCAGAGCTCACATTAATGTTATTATTATAGATAAATGATAGCTTGCACTCATCAGTACAAGTATGAAAAGTGTTTTAGTTTATATTTAATAGATAGTGAAATTGACAAAATTCTGGGAGACGTATTGACGACATTATAAAGCCCACTAGTTTTAAAAAAATCATGCTGCTTGTTATTGTTGACGGCGATAATAATGGTAATAGTGGTGATAATTATGATGATAACAAATAACGCTCGTCTAGTGATTCGGTCAGCTCTTTCTTGTAGCAATTCTCTTGTACAATCCTACTGAGGTTTTTATTTGTATAACACGTAAAAACTGACCTCAGATTCGAGTTCTTTGACATTGATTATCTTTCAGTCAAACTTTTTGAGAAAGAATATTCTTTTTAATGATTTTATTTTACTTTTCGACCAATCAGTGACGTGCGGACATACACGCAAGCAAGGAAACAAACAAACAAACAAATAAACAAACAATTTATTTTTGCAAGAGTCTTCTCTAGCCTAGTGATGAAAGTAATGATGATAATAATGATTGTGATAATGATGATGATGAAAATAATAATGATAATGATGGTGATAATGATAATAATAATGTTTTTTGTGATTCTGATATTGATGACTTTAATGATACGAATGATGGTGATCCTAATAATGGCATTAATGGCACTAATAATGATATATTTGGTGATGTTAATACTGATGTGAATGCTGTGCATTGTGGTGCTGACATTGATTTGAATAATGATGATAATGATGAAAATTGTGATTCCGACATTGATGATAATAATGATGATAATGATTTTTTTTGTAATGATGATAATGCTGATACTAACGTTACTAATCTGGATAATTGTTCTGATGATAATAATTCAAATATTGATGATAATGGTGGTAATGTTGATTCTGGTAATGTTAATTCTGGTAATGATAATATTAATGATGAGAATGATGAGAATTTTGATGGTGATAATGATGAGAATTGTGGTGATGATAATAACGATGATACTGATAATGATGATATTGCTATTTTTGTTGTTGTTGTTGTTGCTGTTATTGCTATAGACGATGACGTTGTCGTTGTTGTTGTTCTTGATGTTAATATTGATGTAAGTGTAGTCATCTCCATTATTGATGCTTTTTCTCTTTCAGTTTTCGTCAGCAAAAGAGTAGTTGTTGCGACAGCTGCAATTACAACAATACAAATAATGATAAATATTATCCAATTAAATTTTCTTGCTCGACGATGTTCATGTCTAGAATAATACATTCTTTTTTGGTGATTTATTTTTATTCACAATATATACATACAATCTTCCTGATGGTATTGTACTAGGATTAATTACTATCGACTAAAATATTCAAAAATCCAATAAGACTATTTTCTCCCTATCTAATACATTACTTCGGCAGGTTCAATTCGGTTGATGGTGTACATAGTTGTTGTTTATCTGAGTTTGAATATTTATGAGATTTGATGTTTTATTAATGCATCAACCTAAATTGAAAGAAAACAATTTCTAAATGAAGTTTTCATTTATTGTTATATGAGATTATTAGAAATAGTTTTGTATGAGTTGAATGAAAAATAAGTCTTCTCTTAAATAATCACTTTAAAATATTCTAACATTTGGAACAAAACAAATCCTACGTCAATAGAAAAATTTATTTTATTTCCTTTTTGAAAAGTTAGTTTTGAATAAACTATTGACAGATGTGAGTTGTTATTTTGTGTTAATGTTAAATCTTTGTTGAATAATATTTATTTTGGTTATTTACAGGAATATAAAAAGAGAAAATCATGGAATGACGGCAAATGTTTCATAAAATACATTAAAAAAGAATAAAATATTTATTGTCGGAAATGTTTTGTATTTAATACAATCAACACGACTCTTTTTGTTTTTTGAAAAACTATTCCAGATGTTCATTTTCATGATCACTTAACACTTCTGAAAAAAGTTCATTTAATGACATCTTCACAATCTTCTGTTGATTATTTATCATGTTCTTCTTTACATTGCTACATAATGAAACTTTTTTGTAGTCAATGGAATGATGACTAAAATTATTTGTTTCTTCTACATGTTGATAGATAGTATATGTGAGATATGATGTTTTTGATCGAATAAGCACTGAATTTGAGAGTTCGAACGGAAAATTTAGTAATTATGAAGTAGAATGAGAATTTGATAAAGAATTGCTGAAGATTATGGATTCTTCACGAAAGTAAAGTCTCATTATGAAAATAAAACAATCGATTCCTATCGGCATTGTATCATAATATGACTTTAGATGTACATGAAGTTATGTAATCTATAACTGGCAAATAAGATTTCATGGCAGGTCTTAAACATATACAAATGTCTTTTGTTTCTACGAATGATGAAACCCAAAAGAAAATCGTATGATGCAAAAAGGATTTTCATTGTTTCTTTTGTTCAATATCGACCAAAAACGTTGCTATTTTTTTATTCTTCTTCATTCGGGTGTTGAGATTTCTTCGCAACTTATCGACGATGACAGTACGACAGAAGTAATGCACCAGAATACAGTACAATTGCTAGAAGAACACAAATCATCAGTAGTGTGAGAAAATGTTGTGGATTTATATTCATCACAATACCTAAATAATACCATTCAATACATATATTCGATTAACCAATTATGCTCCTTACCACACAAGATAAGACTAAGAAGTAGTGGATTGACAACTAATCGTTGATTAATAAAATCAAATGATAATGAAAAAATTGATGAGAAGATCAAACCAGTAAACGAATCAAGAATGAATAGACTTGTACTTGATAATCCTATGATCCATATAAAAACAATCTATGCTATTGTCAACATCAATCCAGCCAGCCAAATCATACTCAATACTATATCAACAGATACAAAGAAAGCCACGATCGCACAGATCAAACGACCGATCTAAATAAATAGTTTAAAAAATTTTTCAACTTTAATTTCATTTTATATGACAAATAAATCGAATAATAATAGAATAGAATAGATTTTATTTTATCTTTTAATTTAAAAAAAAATAATAAAATAATTTTTTGATAATGTAGAAATATAAAATATTTCATTTTATTTCACTCTTTTTCTAATATTATTAGAAAACACTTTTAAAATAAAAGAAATATTTTCATACTCAGCCAAAACGCAGGTAACGCACAGACGTTTTTTCAACTTTAAACGATTGTATCTGGAGAACGGTAAGAGGGAGAGATCTGAAATTTTCAACAAATATGTAACTAAACAAGTTCTATAATAGTTCAAAGTTTGAACATTAACGGTTTAGCCAGTCCCATTTTATAGATCAAATACTAGTCGAAACACACAGACAAAAAAAGCCCTTGCTTTTTAGTGAATACGAAAGACATGATAGATTCTACGAACGACTCCATGTTAATGAATTTTCATAACAGAATATTTTGTAGCTGAACATCTGGGCTATCTATTGGTAAAAAGAAAATATGAATTACTTGAAAAATGAGTGAGTTATTGACAAAACTTGAAGTAACGCACAGACATTTTGGTAACGCACCGACATGTATTTACATAAAAATTTGCTAATCTTAAAATATTATTTCTAATCTAAAAATATCGCTTTAAAACATCGAAATAATAATGTTTATTTATATTTCAAGCGTTTAGCACTGATTTTTTTATATTTTTGCTAACGCTTATACATGTTCTTATTGATACAAAACGACAGAAATTTTTTACTAAAAAACGTTAAAAATTAGAAAAAAACAGTCCATTTTGATGTTGCATCACCATACATTCGGCATTCAATGACATCGGGACGAATAGCAATAACAGTATGTAATTTCTGAGTATCTTTTACGGACTTCGTCGTTGCAAATACCTGTTGAAGTTTCAATTTTGATGCATCTATATCCGTTTGATAGATTTCATCGAGAATAATTGTGTTCGTTTTCGTTATGGCGATAGAAATAAAATCAGTAGCTGATCGACATTGTTTTTTCACCATTATTTCTAGCCACACCATCCGTTTGACCATACCACCTATAGCATCGACCACCCCTTTACCATGTGATGTAGCAAAAAAATTCCATGATAATTTTAAGTTGTATTCAGCCGATAACCGTGACATATTTTGGAATAAGTATCTTTGCTTGAACTACGACGCCGCTCCGTCGCTGAAAAATACGATCTCCTCCAAATCCGGTAAATATTGATTGAGTTTACTAATGATGTTATTCAAGCATACGTCAACACAATACTTATCATGAGTTAGATTATTCGATACTAACGCGAATGAATAATTAACTGCACCACACCATGCGTGTGCAGTAAAGATTGATAACGCTTTTGTGTTCCAGTATGCAGCCTGAATAGCGTCCTGTTCTTCCATAGCGAAATTCTCGGAATAATCGACTTGTAAAAGGACTTTCCGATCATCCGTATCTTCTTTGATTCGTTCAAAGAGGCTACTTTGAGCACGTTTTATGAATACATGTAAGAGATATTGTTCAACAAGACCAGATAAATGTTGAACACAGTCTTTAACAGTTCCTTCCGATTCCTGTTTCTCAGCACGGCCACTAGTATTCTTCCATTGAAACCATTTAATCTTTATTGCGAAATCAACGATGTTTCCTCGAATTTTTGTCTCGAAGTATTTATCGCATGTCTTGCAGTTCGATGACATGCATACTTCGTTCGACTCATCACATACCAGAGCACTTGTAAACGTTTGTAAATCCGAGCACATTCCACCTTTAACATGTTTCACTAAGGCTTCAAGTAATAGGTTTACATTTTCGTGGTATGCACACACGCATACACGATGGCTCATTAATGCTTTGATTAATACATATCCTGGACGTAATTCTGCGAAACTTGTTCGAGCAATAACTGGATCTATAAAGAAACAACATATTACTACTAAATTATATACTATCAAAATAACCTGAAGTAGAGGTACAGTATTCCGACAGAAACAGTTGATGTGCTTCACGAATGTTATATAATAAAATTCGCTTCTGATGAGTCGATTTTGTTCCATTCTCCCTGACGACGATTGTATCCCGCTTTCCAGGCATCTGATACGATATGTCATCTCGACAATAAAATTTAATAATATCATCCTTCACTTTAAGCGATACTTGTCGAGTAGAACGCTTATGATGAGATTGACTTATTAACCCAAGAGATTGAGCAATTGTTTGTATCACTATCTTTTTCTTTGATGGATCTTGTGGAAGACATCTAGTCACTTTTCTAATCGCTTTACTAAGAATCTGCTTTGAGCTGAATGATGCACTAAATAAAATGAAATAAATTAGATGCTTCATAGTGATGCATGTAAAAACAACATACTTCAATCGCCGATCATTAGCAGCACGGGCAGCTTTACGGGCTGTTGCATCACGTTTACGAGACTGTTCTCGCTGGAAATCAGATAACTGACTACGCATATTTCTCATTCTTTCACGATTTTTTGCTTTCATAGCATTATGACCACCTTTTCTCTTCAGATTTTCTCGATAACGCTTTTGTTTTTGAGCGGCAGTGAGCTTCATATTGAGCAAATGTTTTCCAAATCAATAAGTACGATAAATTTCTTATATGACGAAAAAATCTAGAATTATTGAGAATGTAAATAATAACGAGGTTTTCTCGAAATCCCACCAGAAACTTTTATATTTTTATCCTGTGTTTTATTCTCAGTAATGTAATCAGTCATGAAAACAATGCAGAACTATATCAGATTTAAAATTGTATTTGAATTAGATGATTTACAGTTGATTTATGTATGAATTAATATAAGTTTTTCCAACCTCGTGTCTGTGCGTTACCAAATTGCTTCGCACTGACGCACTTGAACCAAAAACCAATGTGTTCATTGGATAGCCTATCAAAAGTAGACGGAGGATTAGTATGAGTTTTGAAAATAAACTGCTTTAGTAACACCTAAATATTTACTAAACTTGATTTTCGGTAACGCACAGACATACATTTATTTTGGTTTTTCAAAGACATCTTTCTCATAGCAGAAACAATCTAGAGAAATTTTTTATAAATCAGAAGAAAGCCCATCTTCTGCGCTTCAAAATGATGTAAGATGCTTGATGATTATCTCTTTTGTTCTCTCGATGTATACAGTTCTCTTACAGCATGATGACTCATGAAATATTACTAATCGATCCACCCGTTTGTTTCGTCCATATTTTTTCGTTAAATAAGCGTTGACCAATAAAAAAAAAAAGAAGATCTTGTTCAGAAAAGTGCGCTCTATCTTTTGGCAAGGTCAAATGTTGCTGAATTTTAACTTCTACTTCAATCATTTTGGTTGACCGTTAGCCGTTTTGGCTGTACTGTCAAAATTTTATAAGAAATTAGGAAAAGTAAAAAATGTTAATATTTTCTGTTTCTTCTATTTTAAATATTTATATTTATTTGCTTTTATTCAATATATAATAAAATCAATTAGAACATATGTCAAGAAAACCTTTGCATAGAATTTGCATTGCTTTTTCATTAACTAAGAAAGAAATTTTTACGAACTAAAAAGAGAATTAGTTAATACAACAAATTAATGTTCTTTACAGATATATTTATTCAATAAACTTAAAATAATCTTTCTAATAAAAAGAAATATGAACTTTTTTCAATTTTAAGCTCGTTCGATTTAGATTTCAAAAGTATTTTAGACTAATCACTTTATAAAGTGTTCAATTTCTTTATAGAAGGAGATATTATGTTTATTAAAATTTCAAACTTGTAAAAGTTGAACACTACTACCTATAGAACTTACTTTTCGTGTAGAGTAGGATCTGTGAAAAATGTCAATTAGAAGAAACTATTTTTCCATAGAAATAATTCTCTAAGAAATTTTAATATAACAAAATACCTATATTGAAATTAAAATAGAATATTTTCTTTTCGATTTATATATTTAAAATCAAGTATTTTATAGTTTGAATTGAATTCAAAATCAAATTCTATTTAGATTTTCTTATACTATCTAGATGCAATCTTTCTCATCAAAACTTAATATTTTGCTAATTTTTATAAATCACTTACAAAAAGTTTATCTAAAATAATTGTACAAATGAAAATAATTATTAAATTTGTATGAAAAAACACAAAATTAAACTTATAATAATAAAGGAAAAAAATGATAAACATATTCTGCATAAACTATTGGACGGTCAAGAATTATTCGTTGTACTCGACTACAATTACGACACATTTCATCTTTTCGAAAATGTTTTGTGACGTCTTCCAATTTGTCATAATTAACTTTTAATTCTGTTAAACAAGGTAGATGGGTTTTTGTTTCATTAAGAAAATGTTCGAGATAATAAAAATGAGCATCTTTCACGTCAAGAACAATAAGATGTGAAAATTCAATAATTGAACACCAACCTTTTTCAAGAAGATAACGTTCTTCATAACGCCGATATGGTTGTCGAATATTTGAAATAGATAAATAAATATTTAACATTTGGAAAAGATCTTTGAAGTCGAACGAAAAATTCATGTTTGAATGGATTTTCATCTTTTAATTTCAAATAAGTAACAGAATTAAATCTAATATTTAGAATATTATTTGAGATTTTATCAAGATAATTAAATTGAGTTGGAAGTGAAAATATTCGATATAATATTAAAGAATAAGTCAAATAATCTATCATACAAGTTACTTGTCCATATTTTTTATTTGTAAATGATTGTTCAATATCAGTAATAGATATAGGAACAATAATTTCTTCTACGGATTGAATATAAAATGTAAATCTACGAAGTTGTTCCATACGGTTAAGTATTTTATTATCAATAAGCACAATTTTAAAGAATGAAAATTAGAAATAAAGTTGTTTCTTTTGTTCTCAAATATTGTTCTCAATTGTTTACGATTTAAGATTATCATTAATTCTATAATAAAAAATATATGTATTTATTTATGAGTGTGTTTGAACGTCTTTCTTAAATTAATGAATAATGTAAACATGTGCTTTGCTATCTATTGCATGGAGTATGTGAATAAATCAAAGTGATTACTATTTAAATTTAATTCAAATTTTCTTACGAAATTAAGATACTTAGTAAGATTGAAAGTTAGAACTTCAGTTACAACTTGGATTGAAGATTCGAATTATTCGAATTATTTTTACCGTTTTTCTCAGCTATTAACTTTTGAGAAAAATTAGTTTTAGCTCTCACACTGCTATCGATCGATAGGAAACAAAATACAGAAGAACAACATAACAAATAAATATAAACGACAGTGAGGGCGAGGGTGAGGGTGTCTATACTATTAAAAAAAGATACCAACAGTAACAAAAACAAAACAAAAGAATTAGAGACAATAGGAAAATAAGAAAAATTATCATTGATATGTTTTTGTTAAAACAAATCATATGAACAAAAATCAATTCTTATTTATTTATAAACAAAAATATTAACTGATTATTTTATTTATCAATCCAAACAAGTATAGTGAATATAGGACAGTACAAACGTCTTTGTCCTCAATATCTTATTTATTCTTTAGAATGAAATTGATAAATAGGAAAACCAACTATATACGCAAATAAGATATAATACAAAGTAAAACATTGTGCTTTTATAGACTTCGCCAAATTATTTAGAAAGATCTAATCGATTTTTTTAATTGTTTCTCACATAGAAATCTTTCTAGTTCATTGCAATAGGAGGATTTCTACTACTTCTCACAGCGTTTGAGAATTGATTAAAGGTTTTCTATTCGATCACCATCAAAACAATTCAACAACTAGTCAAATCGTTTCAAATATCTTTTGCACAGATATTTCAGTGTTTAGAACTATTATCTTTCTACAAGCGCCAATATCAATCGATTTTTTTAATAATTTTCATAGCTATATGTAGATCTTATTCGATCTTGTAGAAAGTTGACTTATGTACAGAACATTTAGAATATTGTTTGATCAGAGGAATATGAAAAACACCTTTCGTAATTCACTATCGAATATTTTCATCATTCGGGTGTAACTACTAGATGAGTCATATTCTCGATAAATAAAGAAATTTCTCGTTCTTGTTTTTTACCAATGAGTCACATCATATTTTGTCTTTCCTTCCTTTGATATACATTAGGTTTTACCCATGATCGTCATGATTACTGTTATATTGCTCAACATTGAGAAATCGGAGTGATCAAAGTGGTATATAAGTAGATATGTGATTTACTACTTTCTTCATTCAATCGCATTTTATATACTAACAATATGCAGATCTTTGTAAAAACGCTCACAGGTAAAACTATTACTCTCGAAGTTGAAACTTCGGATACTATTGAAAATGTGAAACTCAAAGTTCAAGACAAAGAAGGTATTCCACCTGATCAACAACGTCTTATTTTTGCTGGCAAACAACTTGAAAATGGTCGTACACTCAGTGATTATAATGTACAAAAAGAGAGTACTCTTCATTTAGTATTACGTCTTCGAGGTGGTATGCAAATCTTTATCAAAACTTTAACTGGCAAAGTTATTACGCTTGAAGTTGAAGCAAACGAATCTATTGAGAATATGAAACTCAAAATTCAAGATAAAGAAGGTATTCCAGTTGATCAACAACGTGCTATCTTTGCTGGCAAACAGCTTCAAGACGGTCGAACACTCAGCGACTACAATATTCAAAAAGAATCGACACTTCACCTTGTTCTTCGTTAGTTGAAAAAAAACCACAACGTTTTCTTTTTTTTCCCATTTATATTTATGATTGTTTATAGGTTTACGAGGATGTGCAAGAAGATTAGGATTTGCTGTTGGTGGTGCAAAAGATGTGAATAATTTTCGTGAAAATATTCAAAATAATTATTTACCAATCATAACAGATTTATCCTATGAAGGTCTTTTTAATGATTATTTTTTTGATACTGGAAATGAACAACAACAACAACGAGAAGATAATCAGAATTTCTTTTGTCCATCTTATTCAATGGCTATCACAACAAATCCTTTAGAACAATCTCATGAATATTATATGACTGTGGGTTTGAATTCAAATTTAACTGAAGATACATTTAAACGAAGTCCAATGAATCTTCTCATCTGTGTTGATGTAAGTGGATCGATGTCGTCACCATTCAATCGTTATCATTATGATAAACATCATTCAAACACGTATGTACATCTACCTATGATTTGGAGAAAGAAAGATTAAAGGATTTCATATTATTTTTTTAGAACTAATAATGATGATACTGAATCCGATACTCGTTCGAAAATGTCAATTACCATTGAAGTTATTTCCAAAGTATTGGATTATTTGAAACACAATGATCGACTTGCTATTATTACATTTGAGAGTAAAACATCGATCATTCAAACAATGACAAAAGTAACACAAATCGATATAAGAAAATTGAAAGATCAATTATTAAAAATTCGAGCTGATGGTGGAACAAATATGAGTGTAGCTCTTGATTGTAGTGCATCGATTTTTGAAGATGCTTCTTTGACAATCAATAATGAATATGATAATCGAATTTTATTTCTAACTGATGCACAACCCAATGAAGGTTCTCTACAAGAAAATACTTTTTCTTCACGTATTGAACAATTATCAAAACATCGTATTTATACAACATTTTTGGGTATTGGAATTGATCTTAATACTCAATTAATATCTTCCATAACAAAGCATCGAGGTGCGAATTATTTTTCTGTACATGATTCAAAGAAATTCCTCCATCTGTTGGATAAAGATTTTGATCTTATTTTAACACCATTAGTATTCAATGTGAAAATGAAACTTGAATCTGATTTATTCGATGTTGAACAAGTTTATGGTTCACCTGAATGGAATCAAGAAAAACACGATGAATTAATTACTATTAATACATTATTTCCATCAAGAACAGATGATAACGATTGTACACGTGGTGGAATTGTCTTATTAAAATTAAAACCAAGAAAATCATTGGTTGATCTATTAAATACTAAAATGTGTTTCTCAGTAACTTATGAAGATCGTCTTGGTCGAACATATGAAAATAAACAATCTATTGATATTCATATGAATAATAAGATTCATTATGCTAATTCTGGTATTCAAAAAGCTATTGTTCTGGTTAATTATGTGACTTTATTGAAAACATGGATCAATTATGAACGTGAACAGAAATATAATAAAAGAAAAATTTTATTTAATTTAAATGAACGAAATGTTGAGAAATTAAGTGATTGGGAACGACAATCGACACCATTAATTGTATCAAATCAATTTCGAGAACAATACAAAATATTTCGAAACTATTTTCAATCAGCAATAACTGAACTCAATGATAAAGATTTGGAACAAGAAATGAAAATTTTGAATAAATTAATTGATTACGAAAATTAATTATTTCTATTTATGTTTTAAATATCTTTTTTATTAAATAAATATTCATGAATTAAATTCTAAATTTACATTGATCTACGTGTGATATAAGAGTGTGAATGTAGTTTATTCTTTGCTCACCCAGATCCATCCTCTAGAGACGCTCTAATACTATGATTATGAATATAACGTTATTAATACACGATTAATTCATGTTACAATAGGGTCAGTATCTCATTTTAAATTTATTGGCTATAATAAGTTGAGCAATAGAAAGTTGTCTTAAATTTTACTAGTTTACAACAATGAGTGACTCCTTGATAGCTAGCCAAGTAAATACATTTATTGTTTACTTCTTCGAATGAATAAAATAACGAAGCTGATAGAATGTTGTTTTTCTCAATATTTATAATCGTTATCAACAAATTATAGCGATATATCTTGCTAAAATATATAACATTTTTCGTTCTCTTATGTCTTTTGACGAATATAAGCAAGTCAATTTGTAGCTTTCACTGATAACACAAAGTCTATCTAGGCATGTACTTATCATTGACGAAAGAACCAATTCATTTGTTCAAATTTTAATAGAGATATTCAATTTATTTTTGGATTGCATAATTAATGAACCATTCTCTATTTATATTTATATTCGCACGTGCTCTATCGATGTAACATAGTAGTGCACAGAATTTGAAAAAGATTATTATAATGATTGCTTTCATTAAGGGGGAAAGAGTGGAATCCGGAAATCCTTATGAATCTTTTGAGGGTGTGAGTGTGAGCGTAATTGAATGTTGCTGTGGCTATGAGTATTATATTTATCTTACTAGCAGCCAACCTTAGATTATTTTATTTAAAATCAATCAATATTAAAAACAAAACACTTCATCACACTAATATCTACCGTCAAACTACATATATTAATATTTTCGACACCAGATGAACGATATCATGTGGTAAGTGGATCATGATGATGATAAGCGAATGATTAAAGGGTGTGAATGAAAGAATGTTTTGTCCTCGTCATACCAACATCCACAAGCACAACATAAATTGTGTATTTTGAGATAAGTATTCAGTAGGAAAACTGGTTTATTAGTCTAATCAGCAATCGATAGAGCATACCATTACATATTTACAAATCATCTATAGAAAAGCACGAAACAAGTGTCATTGAAGCATATCCAATCCAGTAAGCGGTGATATATTCTGAATCGCAGGACTAAATCCCTTTTTTAATAAATAGAACTACTACCATAGTAAGTAGAGGAATGACAACAGTCAAGTGTACAACTTCCAAATTTGATTAATCCATCACTATTAACATAATTTCTGGTGGCACCGATAATAACAGATCAAGGTAGTAAATCAACTATCGATTGATCGAATAACTAAAAAACTTGCAAATATTATACTTCCATACTGATTATCTTTGAATTTAGGAAATGGTAATCGATTAAGTATAGTTTTTGATCTATTACTTAGATCTGACATCACAGCATGGTCTATTATCCTCAGTGAAATTGCTACTATCACTAATGCAATTATAATGACGTTCGTTATTATCTTGACAAACAATAACGATAAGATGTCGACTTAAATGATCTAATTGAAATTTGATATAAATTATTTCGATGAGCAGTTCGGTTTATTTTCTCTTGGAATGATACACAAATAAAAGAAATATTCATTTACAAGCGACATAGAGTACTCAGCAAATATAATACTAACATAATGTTAGAATTAATTTAGATTTCTTAAATTCAGTGAAATGTTTGATACTGATCGTTTTATTTTACTCTGCAACTATTGATTAAAAAGCTACTGCAGCGAATTATAAAGACAAATATTATTGAATGTGTCTTGATGTGGATACTAGACAATTCATTCCTACACCCATCATTCTATGTTAATAAGTTTGTGACACTGTGACAGTTTCTGATATAGTAGATACTATTGAAGGGATAATACGTGTATTTTATTTTTATAACCAAAATCTTAACATTACAATATTTTTTCCATCCCTTATATATTATATTATCGAAAACAAAATTCAGTAAACACAAAAAAAGATAAATAGAAGGAGCAAAGCCAAACTTGTATATGGATAAAGAGCAGAATTTGGATACAAAAGAAGAACAATAAGAATATTACTCAGTATATAGGAAAAAGGAAAAATAGACACTATGCATCACTAAAAGAGGAACGATAAGCGTAAGATAACCACATACATGTATAAAAAAAGAGAGATAGATAGATATTATTCATAGGTGACGAAGATACTAGTATTTATTTAAACACAAAACAAGTACGACGAAAAGAAAATTATGGGATACATAACATTGGATTGTGACGGACATGTCTTATGAAAAAGGAGAAGATTTATTTTACCAAAAATGTAGAATCACGGAAGTCATAAACATAAAAATCAAAAAATGCAGAAAAGAGATAGTGTTTTTCAATGTCATTTCGTTAATAAAAGTCATCTCAGTTAAGTTAATGTAACATACATCGCTATAGGCCCTGCATCATTATTACCGTTTCTCACATAATATGATATGATATAGTAATCTCCAGGTACAGTAGAAAACGATTGTTCTAGGTAATCAGTATTTAAACATGAATCATAAACGCAGTATGTTCCTGCATAACATGGACTTGTTGTCGTATGCGCATAATTACCAGTTGTTTTTCCATCACAATTAGCAGTCGTGTTACAATACTGTGTCCAACCACTTAAATCTCCGGTTTCAAAACCACCATTAGTAAGAACATTTGCATTTGCGTTTGTATGATTGACAATTACGTCGTCTAATAACCAATAGTGGACGGCACCATTTCCACCCTCACCCATTATAATAAATGATAGAGTTGCTAAGGTACCACTTGCCGTAAAACTAGAATTGTATTTTGTATATGTCATGAGCGGGAAATTTGAACCACTTCTAGCGAAAGAATTCAAAATCTGCCCTGTTGGGCTGGTAGGAAAAGTGCCGCATATTGGTGCTATTGAAAGTGAAATGACATTCAATACAAAAGAATAATCATACGTTCGGAAACTTACCTGTTGTTGTTGTTGTCGTTGTCGCTGTCGTTGTTGTTGTCGCTGTTGTCGTTGTTGTCGTTGCTGTTGTTGTCGTTGCTGTTGTTGTTGTTGCAGTTGTTGTTGTAGTTGTTGTTGCTGTTGTCACTGTTGTTGTTGTTGCTGTTGTCATTGTTGTTGTCGTCACTGTTGTTGTTGTTGCTGTTGTCGTTGTTGTCGTTGTTGTTGTTGTTGTCGTCGTTGTTGTGGTTGTTGCTGTTGTTGTTGTTACAGTTGTTGTTGTTGTCGTTGTTGCAGTTGTCGCTGTTGTCGTTGTTACTGTTGGCGAAACTAAAAATGCATGCAATAATGAATTACAATTAGAGATCATATATTTGAGAGAGAGAAAAGCGTATTATGTCAGAGTAAGTCAAATGACATTACAACAACTTATTAATATATTTTGAAAGAGGTGAAAATTCTTTTGTTTTTAGAACAAAAAATTGATATTGGCTGAACTTAATGAAAAAAAGAAACACCATGATTCTAGCTTTAATTGAAATCTCGTAATAAATCTTTATCAATCACCAACACTTGTTCATAAATACGCGGATACGAGTGTGGGGCAAGTGTGCGTGGCTGGATGTGGGGTGTGTACGGATGTGAGGCGCATGTGGGTGTGGATGTGAGTAGCTGTGCTTGGGGTGTGTAGAGGTGTGAGGTGGGTATCTGTCTTCTCCTAACCCACACCCACCCACACCCTCAAGATGCCGAGCACCCCGTCTTGCTGTCAGATGTCCGTAAAGGGTGGTATGAAACGTCATACACCCGAATCTATGCCCTAATAATACTTAGAATAGCTAGAATTTTCAACTCATGTATTCCATTATATTTGTTGTAGATCCATGAAAAGTGCACCTGAAACAGTTGCTCTCATGACATTTGCTTCCTAAGGACTGTTGTTTCCCGACGACATTTGCTCTCCTGCGATATTTTCACTCCAATATCAGCTGTCGATCGACAAGATGATTATTATTAATAGAGTGTGGGTGTGGACGTTGAAGATGATATAGTTGAAGAAAAGATTATAAAACTGACACCTACACCCTAAAATCGATATAACTCCTGAGCTGTAAAAGATATAAATATATGGTTGATCTACAATTGTAAACCTCGATTCGAACTATTCACATTACTATTTCGAACTCAAGATTGGACATACACTTAGGAAATAGAAATATTGCTAATTTTACATTGGAAGATCTACCATGGTAAATCTTATTTAAAGATCTCGCTATTTCATTGTAAATTTAATACATGCTCTGTCGTGTTCTATCCAACGATGAAAAACGCCAGTCTCAATCACCTATTTATTTCATTTGATGAATAAAAAGGCAAAATAATCAAGATAAAAACAATAATTTTAATTATTACATACTTAATGTTTCCGTTGCTGCTGTTTTTGAGGTTAACCAGAATGTGAGAACAATAGCTAAACCTATTCCAGCGAGTAATGACCCAAAAATACAGCATTTGAAACACCAATACCACGTAAAAGATGTCTTATTTTGATCAATTCTATCATTAAAATAAAGATTATAACCATCATGAAATTGATATTATACTTACCGATCATGATCACCATCATCTGTCGAGACAATGCGTTCGATCGATGAATGGCCTCGATGTATGGTCGATGCTAGATCCGACGACCAGTCGGAGTATTGTCGATACGTCATTATCTGTAATACCAGTGGATTGGTAGCTGATTTGTATGTGAATTGAATAAGGCAAATATATGTATATATACATATATGTTTTATTTAATAAAAATAATCAATAATAAGTTCAACGGCTTCGGACATATAATGCAAATTTCATATTTTGAATAAACACAATTCACCAGTTTAATCAAAAGTTTGGCCTAGAGAATAGAAAAAAAAGTGTAACAGAATGTGCGCTCGATTGAGAAATTCATTGTTTATTAGAGACGAGCGAGTTGTGTGTCACCATTGAAAGGCAAGAGAACATAAGGTGGTTTTGCTTCATTAATTAAATTCACAAGTGGATAACCGACCTGAGCTCCGAATTCTTAACAATTTCAGCTTTTCTAATTTTGTTAAATATACGTTTTTGATATACTATCAAACGAAATATTGGTAGTCATGAATAAATCGATTTTGACTTTAACATCTCTATAAAAATAGTAATTTTAAAAAGTAAGCATACTTTAACAAAATTGGGTATTATTAAATACCGATCCGATTTAATTCTAGATTCCAAGATTATACCTCTTCTACTTAAATTATGAATATTTCTAAATTTTTGTAAATTAATTATTTGACTGAATATAACGAACTGATCAAATATTATCTATCAACCATTGATTGTATTTTTTTATTGAATATGTTAAATCTGCAATAAAACTAAAAAAATTTGAAGTGTATGTATTTTCATGTTTATATTTCATTATTTTATTTTTTTTTGTTGTATTTTAAACATTAATATATATTAAAAAAAATATTTCTCTTCGTGCAATAAAATCGTTTCATTTGGTTATTGTTGCTCATGTATCAATAAAATCGTACATATAAGGTTTATAATCAATTATTCAATTCGCTTATCGAATGAAAAATCCTTATTTTCTTTTTTATTTGTATAAAAACTGCGATCACTTGATCCTAACAGTGCACAAGAAAGTGAAAGAAAAAGAAAAAACGGCAAAAACATAATGTAGAGTATGATAGAAGACTATAAAAAACAACAAAAAGTTATAATAGATTGAAACTTGTATAAAGAAATAAACAAAACACAAATTTTACTGAAGAGGGAGAGAAGCAAAACATCATAACAGAAATAAGAAGAGGCACGAAAACAAACCTAAGATTAACAAAAAGAATCGAGAAAATTCTGACGAAGTTCTAAATCATGCTTCTCAAAATGTGCAACTGAAGACTTCAGCGGAATAGACGAAAATCACTTAACAACTCTCTCCAAAACAGATTGATGACGAACGAGTCTTTTTGATTTCTTTAAGCATTTAATAGAAAATTCTTTATCTAACCACCTTTTTCTAAATTCACATAGATTAGCTTTTTCAAAGATAAGATTACCATCTGTTGAACTGGAAAGCGTTATCAGATATCTATTTCAGTACGCAGAGCAACGATCTTTCAAGGATAACTCATCAAGTACATGTGCAGAAAGGTTTTCATTCTATTCAAGACGCTTTAGAACACCACGCAATGAAGAATAATAGAATTTGCACATACTTTCCTGTTGTTTACGAGTTAAAACAGAAAAGACAGAGTAGATTTATGTAAATATAGGTATAACGTGAGAATAAAATAATGCTTTACGAAGACTAGATGAGGAACAACCAAAAAGCCTAAATGATCTTATAAGAGATACTCTCTTCCTGACTTTGCATTCTACATCTCTAATTAATTTTCTCCAATCGAGTTTGGAGGATATAATATATCCAACATATTTATATTTGTTTCTATGAAAAATCCTTATAATTGTGAAATATGAATTATAATTAAGATGATATGAAACCATTGATAATCAATGATACAATAAATTTAAATAATAATGAACTTATAATTATAAAAACATCATCAACCATTAAGCCGGGAGATGGGTGTGTCTTCTGTCTTCATTCACACTCACACGCTACAATAAATATAAATTACAACAAACTTATAACAACAGCATCAACCATTAAATTTGAGGATGGGCGTGTCTTCTCCTTTCAAACACATCCGCACACGCAACTACCCACTCTCACACCCTATGAATACAAAAGGAGAAAATAAAGAATATCAATCAATATATGAGAAAAAGAAAAAATAGACACTGCATCACTAAAAGAGGAACGATAAGCGTAACATAACCACATACATATAGAAAAAAAGGGAGAGAGATACATATTATTCACGAGTGACAAAGATACTAGTAACTAGTATCTATTTATAAACGGAACAAATATGAGGAAAAGAAAATTATAGGACACATACCATTTAATTGTCACACACATGTCTTATGAAAAATGAGAAGATTTCTTTTATCAAAAGGTCGAAATCGCACAAGTAATACGCATAAAACTCAAAAAGAAGCAGAAAAGAGGTAGTGTTTATCAATGTCATTTCGTTAATAAAAATCATTCCAGTTAAGTTAATGTGACATACATTTGCAAAGGCCCTCCTGCATCAGGTTCGATCCTGAGATAATATGATATAAAATAGTAATCTCCCGCCACAGTAGAAAATGATTGTTCTAGATAGTCAGTATTTTTACATGAATCGTAGACGCAGTGTGTTCCTGCATAACATGAGCTTGTTACCGTTCGCGTATAACCATTAGTTGATTTTGTATCACAATTGGCACTCGTATTACAAAATTGTGTCCATCCATTTAAATTTCCAGTTTCAAAACCACCATTAATTAGAACATCTGCGTTTGCATTTGTATGATTCACAGATATTTCGTCTAATAACCAATAGTGAGGGGGACCGTCTCCACCCTCACCCGTCATTATAAATGATAGAGTTGCTGAAGTGTGATTTGCCGTGAAACTATAACTGTAACGTGTATACGTGGTCTGTGCATCCTTAGCGGCTAAATTCAAAATTTGTCCTGACGGATTGGCAGGAGTAGTGCCGCACGTTGGTGCTATTGAGAGAGAAATGACATTTGATACAAAAGAATAATTGTACTTTCGGAAACTTACATGTTGTCGCTGTTGTTGTTGTTGTTGATGTTGAGGCTAAAAAAGTACGAAATGATGATTTACAATTAAAGATTATATGTTTGAGGAAAAAGTATTAAGCTAAATCAATGACATCACAACAGCTTATTAAAATATTTTGAAAGAAGTAAAAATTTTTCTGAGTTTTCAAAGCAAAAGATTTTTACTGTCTGAAGTTGGTGAAAGAGAAGTAAAACACCATGATTCTAGCTTTAACTGCAAGTTCTCAATATATCCTTATCGATTACCAATACTTCTAAACAGGGTTGCCAAATCAAAATTTTAGAAAACAGGAGTTTCAAAAAAAAAAGCAGGAGTTTTCCAGAAGAAGTTTTTTCCTAAATTAGTAGGAAAATCAGGAGGTTTTCTATTTTAAGTTGAGAAAATATTAGACGGTTTTCTCGTAGAAAATTCGAACGTTCGCTAACAAAAAATATTTATCTCCTTCGTATCAAGTTGGTGATCAATAATTTAATACACATGATATTATTCTCACTTGAATTTTATCACAAATAATATTTTTTTGCTATACAGAATGGTCATGAAAAGCGTTCTTTTAGTTATATTTATTATGTACTCTTGATCAGTTAATATTCTTATCTGTATTATTTCCAAATTAATTTTCATTCTAATCTATCAGCCAAAATTCTTTTTCATTGTAAAGTTTAAGCAAAAGTATTTATACAAATGAACAGAACGATAGAAAGATTCTTGACAGAGTTTGAAAAAAAGACAAGCATTCTTTATCTCTTACATCACTATATGAATCGATTGTACGTGTTTCTTCGCTTGTTTTTGCAACGAGCGGTCTATAGCATTAATATGCTGTAAAAAAACAAGATAAGCTAATTTTTGACAATGGAAGTTGTTTTTCTCTTAAGCCTTTTATGATCTTTTCAGTGAACATTTTATCGATAGGGCTATCACTTCTGTTTCTTTACCATTGATATCTTCACTTTTTGTTATTGTAATATATACCTATTCATTCTTTTCATGTTTATAATTCGTGTCAGACTTTGACAACAAAATTAGCAGTGCCCATGAACCTATAACAATTCTCTAATGAAAATGAAACGCAAGAATCTTGCTAAGTTATTCAAAATATTGTTCTATTCTGAGCTAAGAAGAAGCAGACGTCAATTCCAAGAAATGTAAAAATCTTTCTAGACGAGAGACATCTTAACTGGCCATCTAAAATGTTGCCTATCGGACTCTTGTCTGAATATCAAGATCTTGTTTTCCAGACAATAGCATGCATTTTTCTGCTGTCTCCAGTAAAATAAATACTTTGTGTACAGCTAGCTCCTACAATTGATGATTTTTTTCGAGAAAAATAAAATAAAAGCAAATATTTTCTTGTTCGTTACTATAAGTATTGAGTACTGTAATAGTTCTCGTTTTTTCCTTTTAACTTTCTTATTGATTCAAAGTATCGCTAAACATTAGGAGAAATCAGAAGAAAATGTTGAAAATCAGCTCCTGAAATCAGGAGATTTTCCGCCAGGAGAAAAGTAAAAAAACCAGGAGAATCCTGGCTAAATCAGGAGGTTTGACAAGCCTGCTTCTAAAATATTTCTTTAGAAAACGAATGACTTGTTCTCATGCTTAATCTAGAAGATACTCTGCCCGCTTTCTGAATGATACTGTTCACAGATCATTATCAATTAGACGACGCAACTGGTGAAGACCAATCGGTTAAGAATCTTGAATGCAACGAAAAAAATTGATCTTCTTACTTATAGAATGCGATCGATGAAATATCCATCTAATTAATACATGCATATCAATTAGTCAGGTATTA